TGATGGTCCTGTTTTGCTGGATTGTTGAAGCTTTTCCGTCAACGCATCAAACTTCTTCTTTTGGCGATTAGTTGCTGCTGCTTCGGCCACCATCAAAATATGAAACTTATACAAACACCATGTGCTCAATTATCAAGCTCGAGAGCACGTAAACGATCCCATCGCCGATGTGACCATTCCCTTCCTCGCCCTTTCTGCTATGGTTCAAAAACCGTATTCTCGAATGCATAGGGAACGATGTGAGAAGCGTTTACGGAAAGCGTTGTTGCCAACAACTTTATCAGATAAATTCGACTCAAATTTACGATTAAGAGACGAAGATTTATCTAACGATCAAAGAGTTCGCGGGCATTTCAAATAAAATATTAAAAATGTTATACCAGCTAAAATTTAAAGCTGTTATACCAGGTAAATAGAAATATATTATATGACTTGAATAAATCGGCATAAACCTGTAAAATATTATTGAAGACCGTTTGAATGAGCACCTCCTGCGGACTTCCAAGGGAACACGTGTATGGTATGTGGGGCCAGTGCTTTTGTTCTACCTTTCAAGAGCCCTCTAAGATTCCTAGAATTATCGAGCCGAGAAGTATCTTGCGGTACCATTAGTTCCTGTTTGAATTCAACGTCAAAATGATGAGGAACAACCCTGTTACTGTGTGCTAGTGTTTGAAATTATTTATCACGTGTTTCTCACAGAGCAGCGTCTTTGACCGTATTTTAATATTGATTTTCTATAATATTGACTTTACCTTCCTTATATTATATTTTTAAATGTATTCTTCCTTAATATTAAACTGGTTTCCTTTAATATCTCTCTAAATTTAAAAACTGTTAATGCTTCATATAAAATATTATACATTTGTCTGTATTCATTCATTTATTCTCATAATGGTCAATTGAATCTATTTATTGTTGAACTGGTTTCTCAATTACTATTTCTATATTATTTTCAGATACATTTCTATATTGCTTGAAGATAGAACTTTTCTATCAATTGGAGCACCAGCTGCTTATTCAGCCTAAAAAGCTTGACGAACTTGATTTCATTTATTTCCGTAGCGTTCATGGGTTGATGAAATTGCCGTGGAGGATTTGGCAAGAGAAGCTTGTTCTACTGCCGCTGCATGATGGGATCACTCGATCGCGTTCAAGAATACCAATATTCGCTTCACGAGAGAACCACGCCTTTCTTTCTCATGTGATCGCTGTTCCCAGTTTCGAGAATTGGGCTCCATATGGTGAAAGCAGCACTTGAATCTTCAAAACTCATTGTTTTACTTGTATACATGGTGATTCAAAATTGGCGTCATTCCTCTGGAGGTGTTGTCTTTCGCTGTTATAGGAGTACAGAAAAAGTAGTAAAATAAATTAATTGTTTTTTTACATACTTCTTGTTGGGGGGTATTTCGCCTCAAAAATTTTTGTGTGGTCCTATTTCGCAATAAGAACGAATTATTTATCAAAAAGTAATCAAGAACTATCACCTAGAGGTTATCCTGCGACACACTTAGGCTGAAGCTGTAAGAGAAAATTCCAATTAGTAAAGAAATTAATTTGAAAAATTACCTTGACGTTTCGATAGCTACTTTCTGCTTTCGTTATCAAAAGAACCTAAATGAACCTACCAAAGAGTATGTTAATAAGTTGTGTAACAATAGTAGGATAATAAAGTATATAAAAATTCGCTCTGATAATTCGTCTGTGCAATATATTGTTAATATTACTCTTTTTTAGGTTCACTTAGGTTCTTTTGATAACGAGAGCAGAAAACAGCTATTGAAACGTCAAGGTAATTTTTCAAATTAGATTCTTTACTAATTGGAATTTTCTCTTACAGCTTGAGCCTAAGTGTGTCACAGGATACCCCCTAGGTGATAGTTCTTGATTACTTTTTGATAAATAATTTGTTCTTATTGCGAAATAGGACCATAGACATGAGGAAATTCAGTGTTTTTTTTAAGACAACAATTTTTGAGGCAAAATACCCAACAAAAGGTTTGTAAAAAAATGAATCCGTCGCAACAATACAGAACTTATCTACAAATTATTTGTTATTAAAAAGTGAGAAATTTACAAAACACTATATCAGAAATACGGCAGCAATGTTTTTCAAGGTAATATGCCTAATTAACATTGCGAAAATACCTGTTGCTTCGTAATAATTAAAAACTCGTGTAACCATGGAATTATACAGAGTGACAATAAGATAGACAAGGATAAACGGTTAAACGTTAAAACCTGACAATTTCAAAAACGGCATTGACACCAAATTTAAAATATGAAGTTGACGTCTTTTATTTTTGTAAATTTTTATTTATTTTAACTTATGATTCGTGTTATTGTATTTAAACAAAAAATGTTGTTCGATACGAGGGCAAAAATCCACTTTTCGAACTCCTGACGGATTGACGTCCTCGTTCGAAAAACGACACATTTCGCCCTTGTATCAAGAACTACTACCACTACTACTAGTAAAACGACCACATCATTCGAATTTTGTTGAGCAAATAAAGAAAATAATAAAAATTCCGAAATATCCACATTAGAAGGCGGAATCTGCAAGGCCACCTTAGGTGAAAACAATGATGATGAAATAAAGAAATATATGAAATCACCGAACAAGTTAGCATGTGCCTGTTAAAAAACTGATTTTTTATCATATTTTGCACCTATATGATACAAAAGTAGGACTCTGCTGTCATCTGGTTCACCTACTTAATTTGGATTTTGAATTTAAAACCGTTCCTACAAGCTACATACGGATGCTTGCAAACGAGGTACCGCAGGTGTCTTGTTGCAGAAACAGGACGATGGCGAAGTTCAGGCGAATTTGGATATGCAAGGCGAATCATATCCAATTATGGTCTGGCATTTACTAGTAAAGAGTTCGCTAGTTATTTGGTGGAATAGGGAGTGAAACATGTGCTACATGCGATTGCTACTCCTAGGGAGAATGGTCAGTCAGAGGTACATAATCGGAATGTTGAATGCAATTGAGACAAGTGCGGAGTCCAAAGCGACTTGAGGTAAAAAGACTCCTGAGATTGTATGGGACATAAATCAGACAGTGCACAAGAGCTCATGATACTCACTTGCTCAGCGCTTGTTCATGCACACAGCTGGCGTGGATGCAGCATTGATTGGGGAGGTCCATGATGCTAATGTAGAACAAAAGGAAAGCGATTCTCTCGTCGTTACTCCACCAGCGACAACCGGCGACTGAAAACCTGACAAAGCGAATAGAGCAATGAAAGCTCGATACGATCGAAGGCGCACGGCGACAGTTAGTGCTGGATTACCCAACGTCGTAATTTTATTCTTAAACTTAATCCTTAACTTAATTAATAAAATCCAAGTTAACGTTGCGTGGTTAAATGCGATAAAAGGAATTAAGGACTTGAGTAAACACCCACAGTTAAAAAGTGACCTTCAAAAGATCAGAACTCCTAACTTTTACGAATTAACAATTAATAAATCGGAAGTTGGAGGTACGCGCATGCGCAATTTTGCATGGCAATTTTCTAACATCTTTTGCCAAATACAGAGCAAGAAATCCATGTAAACCAAAAAACTGACTTCGTCATTCTTGTGTATTTAAAAAAATGCTCTTCATCTCACTCACTATTTACCATACCCTTTATTAACGTGGCAAACAGATCTTCTGTGGCTCTTTCGCGATTCATGGGGCGATCAACAAAACGCCTATACCTACTGCCCCTGTTAAGCTTCAAACCTGCATTAAGTAGAGTAAAGTAGAGTAAGAAACTGGGTAACCGGTCCTTAAAAAGGTTAAATTTTACGAATTAAGAATTAAGCACTACGACGCTGGGTAATCCAGCACTAATAAGTAACGAGGTCGGAGATTTGGCATTGTGGCGTAACGCGGTTCCTTGTTCTAATGGAAAGGGTGTGAATTTGCAACTCACTAACAAGTATGATGGTTTCTACCGCTTGGCGAAAGTAATTGGTAATGACCGTTATTTAATCACGACGGTAAAAAGCATTGCAATTATTCGGTTTTCGGTTAATGAACTGTAAACGAACTTTAATTTGTTCCATAATTTGTTAATAATGTTCGACTGTTTTTTTAAATTTCTTGGTTCCAGGGTAGGCACACGTCGCTAGTGCCTGTGGTGCACACAGTCAATTCAATCGTTTAAACGGAGCCGCATGAAAGGGTAAAAAACCTTTAAGGCCTTGGCGGTAGTCGACTCTTTACGGGAATATAGTAGTATTACTCTTGAGGATGAGGGTAAAAGTGGCGAATTACATTCTGACGGCGAGGTCACGGACCGACAAGATCTGATTGATCTTCTGAAGGGTTAGTTATTAATCAAGACTTGCCCGAATGTAAGCAACCTCGGAAATCGGGAGAACCACGGCGGAACGCGTACACTGAAGGAGGGAACAGAACGTGAGGGGCGCCTTTATAGCTGGGGCATTCGATGGCGCGACGGTACTTCCGGGCAACGACTGAACGTTGTCCAGGGATGGAGATGGTGAAAGGCGTTCATTAAAATGCTTAGTCTTGTATCGACTACATGCTTTTGCGGAATTAAACCTAACAATAGCTTGTTTCTTAAACATCTTTAATTACATTTTCTTTAATCAATTGGCATATATCAAAAACTATAAGAGATAAGTTAACAAAACAGCAATTAGACGGCTAATCCAACCAAGCTAAATAAATTAAGGGGTTGTGTTTAAAATAATAAAGTAAGGTTATACCTGTTGTACACCCTGCACTGCTGGAGGGCTAGATATATTTGACATAGTTTGAAGTTTCTAAAACAACTGCCAGTTGGAAAACTTCCGATACACGGGCTATGTAAATCACCGTTGACCAAATGTTTGGGCCCTTGTGCAACAACAAATTTTTCGTCAAAATTATCGCAACCACGGGCAATGCGGAGGATGCGAACAGGCAAAGGAGAATGCTGGTCGCGGTCAGAAGAAAGAGTCGTAAATTAGCGAGTCATCAGCATACATTAGGATAAGCATATCAATAGTAGTTTCATGTGGTGACATTATTAATAAATAAAGTCCACTTTAAAAAATTTTTTTTTGTTGCAAAATCATATCAAGAAAATATATCGCGAGTTTGCTCCGCACAAACATTGTGTTATGACAAATACACACAGTATTCGTGTTATTGATTACATTCATATAGGAAATAATATGCAATTATAAAGCACAAATCTGTTTTTCACACTCCTGAAGGATTGCCACCCAAAGCGAAGACAAAAAGGATTGTATTTGCTCTTATGTGAAAAATTCCAAAGTTAAATGTCTGCATGAATACCAATGACACCGTTCTACTAGATACATACCTGGCATGTTAAACAGCTGACTTTTTTGCAAATAGGACAACGAAACTCGTTGACGTTATCCTCAAAAGTGCACCATCCTTTACAATTTGGTGTTTTACAGTGAAAGGTCTTCTCCATCTGATTTTCTGCTTGTGATATAGATTTGGACAAATACTTCTCGTAGAGTTCAGACGGAACGAGAGCCTTGATCTCTCTATCCTGCAGTACGATGTTGCAAGAATACTGTTTATCCCTGTCAAGGGTAAGCGGTTAAATTAAAATAAGTAACTTTGAAAACTTTAATAATATATTAAGGCAAATACAGGGTGTCCCAAATAGATCTGCATTGCATGTACTCTCCGAAACCGTGAGAGACAGAAAGTCGGCTAAATTGAGCATATTGAGCTTACTGTTGAGCAATAAGAGGGCCCCATACATAGCATTTTCAAAAAGTAAGTATTTCTTTTAATTTTGGAGGTATTTAGAAAAAAGTGGTTTGCCGGATTTTCATTCTTTTTCATTTTTGAAGTTATTTCAAATCATATAAAAAAACAAAGAAATGTTTTCGCTTGGAACTTTTTCAAGCTCCACAAAATAGTGTCGATGAAAATGTATTCTAACGTTTCGTTTCTTAGAAATAAAAAAAAAATACAAAACAGTTTAGAATAATTGTTCAAAAAGGTAACTCTTATTTTCACAGGAAGTAACATAGGTACCCTCTTCTAACCGTTCAATCTACAACCCTCGATTCTAGATCTGGAGTTATGAAATGAAAGACATCGGTAACTGGCCTCAAAATGTTGAACGTAAACATGGACTTTAATGTAACCCTAAAGGAAGAACTTGCGTGGGGTCAAGTCTGGAAATCGTGCTGACCAGAAAACGTCACCATACGTTTCGAGCGATCTTCCTGAAAATTGTTGAGACAGGTACTCTCGAACTTGTCTGGCCTTGTGCTCAGGAGCTCTGTATTTTGACTGTTGACACCAGGAATTTTGGACACTTTCTAGTGGCAGAATACCTAATTCATAATATTCATTTTTTTTAATTTCTTCATTGTTTTCGAGCATAATGGAAAACTCTTGAGAAATTCTGATACTGATATGCATAAAATATTGTTGTATCAACGTCTTAGGTTTTTAGTTTACGACTTGATATTTATTTTAACTACATGAATATATTTGAAAATTAATATTGTTTAAGAATGTTGTTTTACTAACAGGCTACAACCAAATTATCATATTGTCTAAAATCTTACTGTTACGTGTCAAATCCCTAAGAGCGCGTTCCACAATTGGCTCATGAATCTCCGTTCTTTACAATTTTAATACAACGTAATATTAAAAATTAAGTTATCAATGTAAGAAGCGAAAACTTTGCAAATCTAAGTCTAATATTACTAAAGAGTCTAATCTCTAAACATAGTCATTCAGATATCTATGTTTTACAGTAACCCGGCCAGATTTTGTTTTGACTGACTCCGTTGTTTTCAGGATTTTTCCTTTTGGCGCCACCGGCGTCCTGTTAAACCCTGTTTGCTCAAACATTCCTGAATCCGATAAACTATTTAAATTAGTTTGACTAATCCTGTTATTAAAGTCATTTGTCCTCTTATTACAAGTAATAAATTTTTCCAGAATCTCACCACAGTCCGTATTTTCTTGTCTAACTTGAAAAATGAAAAAACCAAAATCCTAACACCAGTTTTCTTATTATCTTAAAAATTAAAATAAATAGTTCTTTTCTGAAAGGTCATGTATATGGACCTCTGATTGTATAACATTTTTATAATTTAATCGACTTCGTATCTCTTACGGTTTCGGAAATCCGCATGTAATGCAGCCTTGGACACCCTGTAGAGTTTGCTAACAACTTCAACTCACTGTACATATCTCTAAAAACTATTGAATGATGAGCCTTGTGGTTTCACAAAATTTATAAATACTTCAAATACTTTTGTTATTGAATGTGTTAATTTAAAAAAGAGTAATTAGCGTTCAACTAATATTTAAAATTTATAGTGTCTTGGAATTGAGAAAAATTGTTAAAAAGCGTATATACCTTTTAGAAGCTAATAGTAATACGGTTTTTAAAATAAATTGTGTTAAAGTAGATCGTCCTGAAGAAAACCGTGATTAAATTAAATTGGCTTTAATGTCTGTTATGAAAATTATATTGACTGCATCTTCTAAATTAATTTACAAAACTTCCTGGCTTTCAGTCATTTATATTTCAATATTTACAAAACAGCCGTTTAATCAATACTTTTCGGTATTTTCTACTATCATGAGTTAATCTTTAAGATAAAAAATTGTTAAACCTTGCCACATAGAACAATGGAAGCTTTCTTCATCAAGCAGAACCGTCATGAGTTTATGCTGTAAGCAAGTGCAAATTTCGAAGTGTGCTAACCGCAGGCATCACCAGGACTGGTTTCGCCTGAGCAACAAATTGAAAAGCTAAAGTGCAGGACTCGGGATTGCTATTCTCAAGCTAAAACTAACTTAATCGAGCTACTAAGCTCTAAACTGGTCCTGGGGGTCCCTGAAGTCAGCACACTTCGAAACTGCTTACGTCATAAGCGCATGACGGCTCTGATGATGTCGGGAGCTTTAATTTTTTAACAGCTATCCCATGTTGGATTTCAATACTGTAGAGCGTAGTTGTTCTTCTAGTAAGTGCACTTAGAGGCTTGGAAAATAGCAATATATGGCGACAGCAACTAGTTCCGCGCCACTGTAAAACTAGGGGCGGAAGCACTAGTCGCAGTGAAGAGATCTATACAGCACTATCAGATCGTCAAACCGTCAACACGTTTGGAGGAATTTATAGTTGCTGTTCAAATTGAAAAGTTGCAGATCTGAGTCGGGTTCATATACTCCAGTCCAAACGCTACGTTGAGTCCCGCGACAGTTCGAAGGCTTTTCCAAGATGATAGGCTAACAACGCATGACGGGGACTTCAATGCCAAAAACACCAATTGGAGATCCAACTACAACACTCCTAGAGGCACCATGCTCTCAAAAGAAGCTAGAAATGCAATGTTTGAGATAGCCGCACGTCTAAAGCCCCAGCACATCTCCCATAATGGAAAAGATGACATCCTGGACATATTCCTGTATAAGAACGCAGGAAGACTATCCGGTCCCGAAGTACTTCAGGAACTGTCTTCCGACCAATTGCCGATCCTGATTGATGGTTAACCTACAGCCACAGCGAGGTCAGCTGTGAGGTACATGCTGCGGTAGAAGTTCTCGCAGCGCCTCGAAAGGAGGTCAGGAGCCTATCAGCCAACTCCTCTTACGGGAGGGCTTTCGAAGCCCATATCGCTGACGGAAGAAAAGAAGTATCAGGCCTTTGTCATCCAGTGAGTAAAGAATAAGTGATAAAACCGTTTCCTTGCCCATAGGAGATGTCACCACCCAGCAGCGCCGAGGCAGCCGCTATCCGCAGTTGAAGATGCAGTCTGCAAATATTCAAGCCGCCAATATCTCCCAGCGAATACAGACTGCCCCTGCAGTCCAGCAGAGGTAGGCAACCCTGGTAGTTCAGCACACGCCAGCTACCCCTGCAGCCTAGCTGAAAAGAGACCAACTCCCGCCGATTGTTCTTAGACAATAGGACAAGTACGATGATATTACCAAGAAATTCAATAAAACGAAAATCATCTACGGCTGTGGTCAGAACCCTCTAAGCTGTGGCTCAAGAATGAAATACTTGTTTACGGTGTCAATCAGAAAATTTTCGTTTTTGCTAAATCTAAGTCGTAGCAAAATTGCTAAACTAGGTCCTAACTCAAAAATGTGTTTGTATTGGATCAATCGCTTATAAAGTAGACCTTTCACATAACAATCAATTTGAAGCCGAAACAGGTTTTGTTCCGGCTTCTTTGAATTTACCGGAGTTAATTTTTTTTACTGCAGGGCACTGGCAAAAATCACGACTTATTAAAGACTATTCAGAACAGAAGCGTCAAAAATCGTCTTTGAGAAAAAGTGAAAAACAATGATAGCTCACCTGTAAGGACATTTGACTTCAGCGTCATCTGCAAACTCTACCGTTCTGGTTAGACAATCTCGACAGAATTGGTGTAAGCACTCTCTTAGAATAACACCTTCCCCAATGGTAACTTCCGTGAAACATATTAAACACTCGAAAGTTTCTGAATTAGCTACCAAGTCCGTACTGTCTAAGTTCAACAGATGATGATATATTTTTGGCTGTGGAGCCGCCTTTTTCTTCATCGACTTTCTTAAGCGAGAAGTGCCGCAAATCTCACAAATATTGCAAGATCCTGGATTAAGTAAGGTGCATCGATAACACTCCCATTCCTTGGCAGGGTGCCCGGTTTTGGAATCTTCAATTTTAATATCTTCCACTACCGTAGAGTTAGTTTCGCCATTACAAGCAATCAACGTTTTGTGTTTAATTTCGTGCGAATCGGGATATGTCACTTCAACAGAGCTCGTTCCAATCTCTTTAGGTTTATGGGTTTGACACGTAATATTGACAGCTAGATCTTCCAAACGAACTTGTCGAGAGGTGGGTGAATTATTCGAGACCAAGGATGCTACTCCAACAATGCCATCTTGTTTGGCTTCGTTTTGTATGAAACATGGTGCTATGGTCGCCGATATGTTTGTTATTAGATCTTCATTTTTTTTTTTTAAATTGGTTTTATACTGGTCTAAGTGGAATGAAGGTTCATTCCTCCCAAGTTCTAAAGGTAGTAATTTTTGCTTCGGAGTAAACGTATTTTTAACTTTTGCATTTGTTAACCCTTGTTCGAATATGCCTTCCTCTTTTCCTTCTATGACATTTAAGTTGGAATTTCTGTTCAATACGGTCTTGAGGTTTGCATTAATGCTGGCACATTTCTCAAGTTTACTTTCATGTTTTGATGGAAGATTGAATATTAGTTTATTCTGATACAAATCTTTTTTTACATCAACCATTTTAATATCTGTGTTTTGCGTATTATTCTGGCCAATTAATTTCTTCTGAAGGGAATCGGGCAACACTATTTCTGTTGCTTTTGCGGTAGTGCCTGATACGGCGGAAATATGCCCCTTCAAATTAGTTGTCCTTCGTGAGAGTGGTTGAATTTTCAGTTCAGATTCATTTCTGCTTAGACCAGCTGCGGCTAAGATCACTGCCGAAGTTCCTATGTCAGTTTGCGTAAAATGGCTTGAAACTGGATGAATGTCTGGAAGACCATTATCTGAAAAAATAACTTAAGTTTTACTTAACACAACAGTGCAATTCACGAGTTCACCTTCAGTTGGACGAACTGCAAAAATCATGAATCTATTAGTAAGACCTTCCTGACATCCCACATTTTATTATATGTTTTTAAGTCTATAAAATAAAACAATACTTCCCACATAGCAAAATGATTTTACCTGCATGTACCTGGAGCATTCATTTCATGAACATGAATGTTTGTGGTACATACATCAAAACAATAATGAAGGTTCCTGGTATGTCACAGGAATGTGTCAGAATTAATACACTGAACGTACATTTTTACTGTATATTAATAGGTCATTAGATAGACAATTTACAAAGTTACAAATATGCATTTAAACTTTAAGCTCTGAAATCAACCGTTTTCAAATTATAAATAATTTTATTTAAAAATTTCAAAAAGTTGTTACATTTTGTGAGGTGGCTATGGAATTCAATAAATAAGTGTCAAAACTTGAATTTCCACGTTTAACTGATCAATTGCCTAATTATATCAACGAAATAATGTGGTATTTACGTGATGGAGCTCCAGTTCGCCATACAGCTGAAATTAATAAGTACCTGAATAATTTATTTCCTGAGAGGTGGATAGGCAGAGGTGGGCCTGTTCAGTGACCACCTCGTTTATCCAATTTGACAAAAATGGATTTATTTTTATAGACTTACGTCAAAAACAAAATGGTATTTATTAATCTCTTTGGCTGTGACCGAAATCGCACCTTTAGGGCCGATTACACAAAGCAAGTTCAACGACGGTTCAACTAAACCGTCAGTCACCGCTGAACCGAGTTCAATTTTTTACGAGTTGTACGACGCCGATCGAAACTCGATTTAGTTGAATTGGACTAATCAATGTATTCCTGGGGTTGGCGCTTCCAAATGTCGGTTAAATGTGGTGTTTGGTGTTCTTTAATTGGCAACTATTTATGACAATCTAGCATTTTGGACAATATGGTCTAATAATTAAGCAAAAGCATTGCCACTGCATAAGGATTATACAGCAGCGTCACTCTCTAGGCGGCACTTTAAACTTTTTACCGAGTTTTCATTGACCTTGAACGAATCTGATGTTCAGCGATTGAACTGTTTTCAAACAATAGAAGGAAATAATCCAGGACCGGATTGTACTTTTTATTTGAGGTGTAGTAAAGACATACAGAGACACAGGTGTTTTTTGCACATTGTAGCAGCTGATTAGCACACGAGTTTACACTTTCTTTTTTGTATTTATTTAAATATAAGAAAGTTTAACTGTTAACAACAAAATTAGACACCAAACTGGTTGTTTTCAACTGACTGACCTGACAGTTTTGAAGGGCTTAAACAATTGACCTTAAAAGGCCATAAAACTCCTTGCTTAATTTACTAACAAAGTACACCTGCTGACAGGCCAGAAAATCTCATCCTTGCAATTAATGTTTTATTGCTCGCACCAGCTGCTTTTGCAGTGCTTGCTGTGTTTTAATTTTATTTATTCATATATGACCAAAAGTTAATGTCCAAGGGGTGGCACTTCACGGTAAGGGTGTAAATATGGTACAATAAAAGTCGGCCTAATTCTTCTGAATATCGTTCTGGCAGCAAGGCACATTCAACACGCCAAGCGAATGAGCTCTGCATGCTGAAATTGTGAAGTACCCCACGCGAGGAAAATCAAATTGGAAAAAGCTAAAGCTTTTGCGGACTTCTTACAACGCCAGTTCTCGCTCATCATTTCCGAAAACAACGACCTAGATTTCGAGGAGGAGGTCGACAACGTCCTCAGCGAATTCGAAGACAAACAAATCCCCCCTGACGCCCCTGCAATTCCCCCCGTAACACTCTCCGAGCTTAACGCCCTTATCGCCACCATTAAAACCCGCACAAGTCCCGGTCCCGACCAAACAACTAACAAAATCCTCAAACGACTCCCGGAAAATATCCTCAATCACATCCTCACCCTAATCAATGCATCCTTTTCGCTACGAAAATTTCCAACCCATTGGAAAACCGCCTTCGTAGTATTAATCCCCAAACCCTCTAAAAACAAAACCTTTCCTCAAAACTGGAGACCCATCAGCCTCTTTCCCACAATTTCCAAACTAACAGAAAAACTCTTTCTCGACCGCCTCCAAAAATTAATTTCAGAAAACCAATTAATCCCTAGAGAGTAGTTCGGATTCATGCAAATACATGACTCCGTAATGCAAGCAGCCAGGCTAATTCAAGATGCCACGATTGCTTGCCAGAACAGATGCTCCACTGGAGTTGTCTGTCTGGTCATAGAAAAAGCTTTCGATAAAGTATGGCACAAGGGGCTAATATGGAAGCTCTATCACACACACAAACTACCATTAACCTTTGTCCACCCGTGCAGGTTCAGCTACCCATCGGGCGCGTCCCCAGGTGGCGGATAGGGGGAAGGCCGGTCTGATACGTCTGACCGGTTAGCGACGGCCATAAGTGAAAGTCCTGGTACAAAACCCACGGATCTGGATCGAAAGCCGTCGCCGCAGACCAGCTCGTG